GTGCCCCGTGGTTTTTTAATATTTTATAGAGGGGTTGAAAGAGAAGAAAAATGCGGGGTTTTTGGCAAGGGGGGGATTTAAAAAGTAAAGAATCACACTAAAGTGGGGGTTGTCACAGTTGCCTTTGCTGTGACATTGCTCTTGGGAGATTTGAGAAAGTTGCAGAGGGCTGGTGGATGAATTTGGGGAGGGTGTGCAAAAAAAAGAAAATTGAAAGTGAATACAGGAAGAGTAAGGTTTTTGGGGTAACAAAAAAATTTAAAGGGATGAAGATTTTGGGTATCAATTGGAGGGAGGGAGTTTGGGGGAGGTGAATTATTCCATATTTGGGTACGTGTCAGCGGATGGGTCTATGAAAAAATGAGGTGAATCATAGAATTGATGGGGGAAAAAGGGGGATGGTGCACTTAGGAGTCTGGGAGACAAAAACTTTGCCTGGAGGGAAAAAAGGGGGGAAAGTATGAGAGTATGTTTTCCCACTTTATATGGGGTGAAGCATGGGGAGAATGTTGCAGCGAGGAGAAGGCTGGGGGCAGTGGAGTGTCATGTCTGGGGCAAAGTGTGGGTGATAAATGCAGGAATTCGTAGTTTGGAAATTTTGGAGGAGGGGGGGATTACCAAAAATGTTGTCCGGGGCTGGGGAAGGGGTTTTTGAGGTGGTTCGGACGTGGAAGAAGGAGCGAAACAGAATAACTTCAAGAGTGTATCAGTCTGTATGGAAGGAAGGCGGGGTAGGGGTCGGGCCCAGGGGGAAAAGGGTTTGGGGGGGGGGGGTTTTAAAAAGGGGTTTTGTGTGCGAGGGGCTTGGACTTCCAGAGGCATGCGTGAGCGTGTTTGATAGGAAGGAAAAGGGGGAAAAAAGGTTTTTTTAAAACTTGACGTTGTTGGAGTGTGAGCAAAGTAACATTTTGAAGGGTTCAGGGAAACCCGGGGCCGGGGCTTTTCCCGGAGATGGGAAGTACAGGCCTGCACTCTGAAGGAGGGGGGTTAATGTTAGTTTAAAAATGTGTGTTTTAAAACACCCCCTTTGGCAAAGACGTGCGGAGGAAAGATGGTGAAGTTTTTTTTTCCGGGCCCCCTGCCTTGGTGGGAAAATTTGGGCCATGTGTAATAAATAAATAAAATATTCTACCCAAGAAATTAAAAATTATTATTTGTCCAGTGTATTATTAAATTCTTCCCAAATTCTATTAATTATAAATGGATCTTATTTATATAAACCAAAGGAATATTCATATTATTGTCAAAACTTCTTTTTGGAAACAAGGATTCAATTATTTTCCTGTCGACCATGGGACTTGCTTGATCTACTTTCTCAACTTTTTGAATATCAATTGGATGGTTAAAATCTCTTACTGAATAAATAGAGCATTGGAATCTTATCCAGTTTCGAATGCTATATTTATGTTGTTTTTAATATTAGTTCGAGTTTTTTACCAGTTGAACGTAATTAAACCTTTATCCGCATTTTTTTACAAGGAATCTTTATGACACATCATCAGCCATTTTGGGGGTAATTCTTTATCAAAGGTTTGTTTACTGTTCAAGATTTTGATACAACTTTAATATTAAAAGTCTTAGAAGAGAAGGATATCAACCAAGTTGTCATGGTAAGGGAGAAACAACAATTTTTTGTTCAGAATAAGGCTGGTGTCCCTTTTGGATTGTAAAAAGTATTTCTAGCAACTTTAAAAGATTTATCAAATTTACATTTCTTGGGTATTTTAAATCATTATATGTCATAAATTTTGGATATTGCCTCATATGAATCAGGACTACAAAATTCGTAAAGCATCTCAAAAACATTGTTGAGAAAATAAGACAGTTTTGACTTTTATCTTGATGCGAGGAATAATCGTGGACATAGGAACAGTTATTTGTAGGTTTTCTGTAAATTTTACTTTTGAATTATTATTACCTTAATAATTAAAACATCTAGAAAAGGCAATGAGTTTATTTTCTTCAAACTCAACAGTAAAGTTTATAGTATGGGCTCGGCTATTTAATTTTTCCAAGAATTGGTGTATATCTACATTTTTGGGCATAAGATACAAATAAGCATCAACATATCTGAACCATTTAGCTCTATTAGGGAGGATTGGTTAAGCACCTTGTTTCAATAAATTCCATGTATAGGTTACTAAGAACAGGTGAAAGAGGATTTCCATTGCCATACCAAAACTTCTGAGTGTAAAACTTATCATTAAAAATAATTTTGCATCAAACAATGCAAAGTTTAATAAGTTTTATGATAGTAGGAAACTGGCCAATGGTAATCATAAGTTAACGAGTTTTTCAGATAAAAACTTAATAAATCTTCAACAGGTACTTTAGAAACAAGGAAGTAAACATCAAAACTAACCATATTAAATCATTTAAGTCAGTCAAAAGGAGCTTAATTTATAAAGTCTATGTTGTTTTTTAACATTAAATATATATATATATATATTATATAATATATATATATTTATATATATATTATATAATATATATATATATT